GGAAGGAAGGAAGGAAAGGCTGTCATAGCTGGAGGGAGTTGGGGAGATCCTGGAAAAGGAGAAAAGGCCTCGGAGGCAGGGGGCGGTGGAGGTCCTGGTGGAAGCCAGGAGGGTTTGCAGGAGAGGAAGGCTTGGGGGGAGTCGCAGAAAGTCCTTTTAGCTGCGCTTCTTTTCTCTTGCCTTGGCCCCCCTCTCCTGCCTTCAGTTTCCTCCGCTCTCCATTTCTGTCTCCTTTTCTGCGCTTTGCCTTACGTTGCTGACCCCAAAAGGAAACAACAAGTTGGGTATATCTGTGTGTTTATTGTGGACTTTTTTTAACACTGCTCTTCCTCCTAAACTGGTTTTTAAACCAGCAGACCAGTTCTCAACCCCCCAAAGACAGTCAGAACCCCTTTTCAGATAGCAGAACAGGGATAAATGCCAGAATGCAAGGAGGGCGGAAGGCAGTCCGACCGTCTTCTTCTGCGGGTTCAAAAGAGGCACAGAATGTGCCAGTTCGGGGGTCCCGTGAGGCCACCCAGCCCAACCCAACCCTGGTTCTCGCAGGCGTCCGCAGGGAAGCGTCTTGGAGAGATGCCCCCTCCCTCTGCTTGAACACACCCAGCAAAAGGAGCCCAGTTTCCAGGCCTTTGGTCCCCATCTCTCTGCATGGAACTGCAGGGGGGGCCTGGTCCCAGCCTCCTTTTTCAGGTTGCTGGCTGGGGATGATGGGATCTAGAGCAGCAGGCAGGGGCAGAATGGAAATCTCGCGCCCTCCCCTTTTCTGTTTGTGCCTGTCATGTCTGGGCAGGGCCATCCTTTGGCATTCTCCGGCTGGGGGCTGACCACCCCTTTCCTTCTCCTTCCAGGGATCTCTCGGGGAGAGGGGGCTATCAGGATCAGGAGGCCCTGTTGGGCCCCCAGGCAGACCGGGCCCCCAAGGGCCACCTGGACCAGCTGGAGAGAAGGGCGTGCCTGTGAGTAGGGGCAGGGGCAGAGTCAGACCCCCATGGGTGGGTGGGAGCCGGGGAGGGGATGCCTAAGTGGGAGCTGCAGGGCGGGAAGCCCAGGAGCCGGTGTTGGGTCTACGGGTGAGGAGGAAGGGGAGGCGGAGCAGTGGGCTATTGGAGAGGAGAGTCATCCCCTCAGCCTCACTTTCCCTCTTCTCCCCCAGGGTGAAAAAGGGCCCCTTGGCCCCTCTGGCCGTGATGGTGCCCAGGGCCCCATTGGGCTGCCTGGCCCCGCAGGACCACCTGGGGGCCCAGGCGAGGATGGCGATAAGGTGAGCGGGTGGTGGGTGGCCTCGGGCGGGCGCATCCCTGTCGTGTCCTCTGTCCCCAGGGCCAAGTCTTCCTTCCCTCGTGCCTCTCTTTGTCTCTGCAGGGAGAAGTGGGTGACCCGGGTCGCAAGGGCCCCAAGGGGGGCAAAGGTGAACAGGTGAGCTGAACTGCTGAGCAGGATTCGCAGGGGGAGGGAGAGGGAGCCCGGGGTCTGCGGTGGTGGCCCTGCTCTTTGCGCGGCTGATGGCTTCCTCTTCCTCCTGCAGGGTCCCCCCGGCCCCCCTGGCCCGCTCGGTTCTCTTGGGCAGCCGGGCGCTGCGGTGAGTACCTGGGGAGTTCCACAGGTGGCCCCTGGCGCTCCTCGCTTCCTGGGGGTCTTGCTGCCGCGCCTCTGGTCGCTCGGGTGACTGGTGTAAGGGGAGGGGCTGTTTGGCCTCTGGAGAGACCCTCTTTGAAATGAGCAGGAGAGGGGCAAGGAAGGTGCTTTTCCAGGAGCCCCCCCTGCCCGCCAGCGGGTCATTGCCCATTCAGCTGCCAGACTCCGCTGCGCTTGCAACCCCCCGGACTGATGGGGCGAGAATGCAAACCTTGTTTCTGCCCTGTGAAAGAAGCCACTTTGCTGACTTGCTCATTTGCCGTATTCACACACTGTATGAAACTCCTAGGACCTTTGGTTTAGCCTGGCAGAGGGAGGGTATGCGCGAAGCTACGGAGGTTTGCAGACAGGGTTTACGTGTAGCCTAGCGGGTGACTGCAGCCAAGGCTATTCATTCAGTGAACGGTGCTTCCACAGCCTGTTTGATGGGAACGCAACCCCCCGTGGTTGCCCATGCTGTGGCTGCATTCACACAACTCGCTTGGCCAGGCCAGGTGCCCTCCAGGCAGCAGCACTTTCCTGGCACATTGTGGAGCAGGGCATCACCTTAAGCTGTAGTGTGGCTGGTGAGTTGGATTACGCCGTATTCTGTGAACATGTTGTCTGGCCGTTTTGGTTTGGTGCAAGCCCCGCCAGGATGTGGTGCCGGTGGAGCGGTGTGAGCCAGCCCGAAGCGCTCCGGCTGTCCTTTGGGCACCACTTCTCCAGACGCCCTCTCTCTGCGCTGCCTTTAGGGTGCTGATGGGGAGCCTGGAGCAAGGGGCCCCCAGGGCCATTTTGGGGCAAAGGGGGACGATGGCACGCGAGGATTCAACGGGGCACCAGGACCGATTGGCTTGCAGGTAAGGAATGGCCGCTGCGGGTCCTCCCTGCCATCAGCTGTCGAGCCGGACCCCACTCACTCTCTCTCTCTTGACAGGGGCTGCCCGGACCAGCCGGGGAGAAGGGGGAAACTGGGGACGGGGGCCCCCTGGTAAGTGCCACCCCCCTTTCTCCTGCCAGACCTGACTCTCCATTTGTCAGCTCATTAGACCATCTGCCCAGTTTTGTGGTCAAGAAGAGAGACGTGGGCCCTAATCCATCTTTTCCCTGCAGGGACCTCCGGGGCCCCCAGGACCACGGGGCCCAGCCGGGCCCTCTGGAGCTGATGTGAGTGTACCTCCCCCCTTCTCCACTTGATTTCCCTTTGTGGCTTTCCAGGGCTAAGCCTTGTTGGATCTCCTTTTCCCGCAGGGTCCACAAGGCCCCCCAGGAGGGATCGGAAACTTGGGTCCCTCAGGACAAAAGGTAAGGGGGTTCCCTGGGGATGCTCGGCCGAAGGCAGTCCCAAAGGTGATTGGGGGAGGCTCAGGGGCCAGGGCCTTTCCAGGCTCTTCTGGGAGGAGAGGGGCGGGGGGTGGATTTTGGCCACGGTCCTTGTGGCTCTCCTGCCAGTGACTCGCTCCTCTCCCCGGGGGACGTTGCGCCCTCTTATCACAGGCGGACCAGCTCTCGCAGCCTTTGGGTCGTCCACCTGGGCTGGACCACCCCTCCCATCATCCCAACCAGTGCAGGGATAGTCCCACCCGCCTGGAGGGCTGCAAATTTTCTTTAGTGGCTTGTATCGAGCGCTTCGTTGGGACTGTGGTATACGGGGAACCAAACTGTTGTCCGTAGCCACCCGCCTCCTGGGGCCTCTGACGGTCGGGAGGCAGGATGTCACAGAGGACCCAGCGGAGGTTGCGAGGCTCCGTTGGGACCTGATCCGCTAACCTCCCTTCTCCCATCCCAGGGTGAGCCAGGAGAGCAGGGAGGACCCGGAGTCCCCGGAGAGCTGGGCCCGAAGGTGCGTCTCTTTCTTCTGCCCCACGATTGTTCCTCTGTCCTGCTCTGCACCCCTGCCCCTTGGCGCAAGAGCACAGCTCACGCTGCAAAACATGGGGGCCCTTGGCCCCATGCGGAGCAGGCTTTACACGCCCTCTTGCACGTCACAGTTGAAGGTCTGCCCCAGAGTGCCCCTTTCCCCAGATGCCAAGAACCCTCCTCAACCACCGCCTGGTTGCCTCCCCCCACTCAAGGACTTAAGGGGAGCTTTGCTGCATCTGAGGCCCCATTTTCTGCTTCCTCTGTTGAAGGCCCCCAAGTCCTTCATGAAATTTGCCCTCCTGAGCATTGAGAGGTATACTTCCCCTGCATCTGGGGGTTCTGTATTGGCACATCAATTCTAATAGCCCTTTCTCTCTTCTCAGGGCCCACGGGGTGAACAAGGAGAGAAAGGGGAAGCCGGAAGCCCTGGTGTGGCTGGCCCCCCTGGAGGAAAAGGCCCCCCTGGAGACGATGGCCCCAAGGGGACCCCTGTAAGCGAGCCCTGCCGGAATGAGAGGGGCGGGGTGGGAGGAAGTCTTGGCTTGGGAGGGGCAGCGTCCCCCACTCTGGGGTCCTGTAGACCACAAGCCCCAGTAACCCCAGAACCGGATCGATGGGATTTGTAGTTTAGGGCTGGGGAAAGCTGGCGTAGCCTGTTTTATTGGAGAATAAAGCTGATGTAGCATGTTTTGGAAAACTACCTCCACAGCCTCTCGGGCTTAGAGAGGCAAAACGGTACTTACAGACTGCGTTAAATATTTGTGGGGTTGGGGGAGAGACGGGAAGCAGGACTCTCCTGATCCTTGACTTTTCTCTCGGTGCCAGGGGCCAGTCGGTTTCCCTGGAGACCCCGGACCCCCTGGGGGAATCGGGCCCCGGGTGAGTATTACCGTCCTCTCTTGGCGGGGCCCCCCTCAGAGCCTGCCCTCCGCCAAGGCCAAAAGGCAACCATACCCATGTGCCTCTCCCCACAGGGCCCAGACGGAGCCAAAGGCGAGCAAGGAGAAGATGGCGAACCTGGAGAGGCGGTGAGCCCCAGGGAGTGATGGAACCGTGCCTGGGGTGTGGCTGGGTGGTGCTGGCCCTGCCCGTTGAAGCCCCCACCCGCTTTCCAGCCGGGGGCAGAAGATGCCTGACCCCGGGGCCACCTGCGTTGCCTTCTGCTTGTGCCCCAAAGCTCCAGGGGGGTTCCGTGCGCCCCTAACTTCCTCTCCTTCCTTTTCAGGGGTCTCCAGGCCCAACTGGCGAGGGTGGTCCTCCTGGGCCACTCGGGAAGAGGGTAAGTTGGGGGCCCCGGACTCTGGGTCCACCTCGTGGGGGAGGCAGGAGGTGTTTCCCCTCTTACACCCGCAGTGGCTTGGGATTGGGGGCCATGGGGCGAGGAGAAGGTGCTCCCCTCTGCCCAGAAGAGGCAGCCGGTCCCAGCCCAGGGTCCGTCCAAGGCACCCAGCGCAAGACAGCCACCAAAATCTGGATTCAGGGGCCACTTCTCCTCCGGGTTCTGAGCACAGTGGCCGACTCAGGGGCCGCTGCAGGGTCTGGTCAAGACGGCAGCCCTGAAAGGGGGAGGTTTGATCGCTCCGTTGGGTCCACCATCTTGACTTTTTTTGACCATACCCTGCAGAGACCCCCGGCTGAGCTCAGTGCAAAGTGGTGTCCAGTCAGACACGGTGCCCAGTGCCATAAGCCCTATGCTCCCTTAAGGTGGCTGCCGGGTTCAAGCCAGAAGCTAGGACCACCTCTGGGTTCCCACAACATGCTGAACCACCAACAATCCAGGCCCACTTGAGACAAGCGTGATGGGTTGTGTGAACGCAGCCACAAAGGCTGCGTCTCCAGATCATCAAGGAATGCAGCCTTTGTGAAATGGGTCGGTTTTTATAGCAGACCTAGAATAAATGCCATTGTCTAAACCCGTGTTTCTAAGCTCAGTGACTTTAAGATGGGTGGACTTCAACTCCCAGAATTCCCCAGCATGGGAGTTGAAATCCACCCATCTTAAAGTCGCTGAGCTTGAGAAACACTGGTCTAAATATAGTTTTCTTTCCTTACTCAAGTAAAAGATTAAAAGCTACTTGGATGGGAGACCACCAGGAAGCCCGGCTGCTGAAGCATAAGTGGGGAAGTTGAGAAAAGGCAAAGGCAGACCCCTTCTGTGTTGTTGCCAAGCGTGCTAGGAGGCTTAAGAGGTCATCGAGTCCCCCCCCCCCCCCCCCCGCAGGATCCACTAGAGCCTTTCGGGCAGAGCACAGCTGGAAGACAGCCAGCCAGAGGGACTCCGGAGGACCAGCCCGACCTTCCGTCCTTGTAGCTTCAATGCCCTGTCCTGTCCTGTCCTGTCCTGTCCTGTCCTGTCCTGTCCTGTCCTGTCCTGTCCTGCCTCCCTCCCTCTTCTGCCACCCCCACGCTTCCTGCCCGCCCCCCAGGCCTTCGGCTGCAGGGGTCAAGCCCTTCTTGAGGGAGACTCTAGATTAGAACGACAGACCAGAAGAATGGGTCCCTGGAGGGTGTGGACGCAGCCTGTGAGTGATGGCTGCATCAGGAGCTGCTCCCACCGGCCCCTGTTTCTCCCCAGCCCCACCTCGCCAGAGGGGCAAAGACCCCCCATCTGGCTCAGCCTCTTCTCTTTCCTTTCCACAGGGCCCCGCAGGAGCCCCTGGCCCCGAGGGACGGCAGGGGGAGAAGGGCAAGAAGGTGAGTGGGGCTGCCTCTGAGTGGGGCTGACCGGTCACTGTGCCCCATAGGAGGAGCAGGGCTGGGCCGGGCCTTCCAGATGGACAGCTGAAGCTCCAGACTGCTCCCCCCTCCGTGGCTTCAGTCCCCCGGGAAGGGTTTTTTTCTAGGAAAAAAAGAAGGGGGGGTGAGAGCATGAAGGGGGGCCAGTGCCAACTTCTGCAAAGGGGGCAGTGCGGCTACCGGGCACGAGCGCCGGCTGGTGGCCTCCAGTTGGGTCCGAGCACGGGGCCCTTGCAGAGGCAGCCCACGAGAGCCACTGTCTGGAAGTGGAAAGGGGCTTTCCAGGGGCTGCCCCGGGCACGCCGGCACTCGCCATTGCTGCTCTGTTGGCTGTTCCTACCCTCCCCCGCTGGACCGGGGCTGCAGGGGGCTCTCGCCCCAAGAGTCCAGTTGCACCATCCTGAGTGGGCTTACTCAGGATTCACAGCATCACAGGGTGTGAGACTGGGAAGGGACCCGAGAAGTCATCTAGTCCAACCCCCGAGCTAGAAGAAGAAGCTAAGCCATCCCCTAGCAGGTGCTTCCAGCAGAGAGTGGATAGGCTTCCCTTCCGTCTGAGCGTTATTCCACCTAACTCTCCCCTCTCCAGGGGGAATCAGGCACCCTCGGACCCCCTGGCAAAACTGGGCCCGTGGGACCCCAGGGGACTCCTGGGAAACCCGGAACGGATGGCTTGAGAGGCGTTCCTGGATCGGTGGTAAGGAAGGGGAGCTGGGTTCCTGTGGGGGTGGTCTGGCTCATGATCAGATAGAATTGGGGCTAGGAGACTGGGTGGGTCAAGGGCCTTCACAGGGGTCCCTGGGGCGTCTGGGGGGTGAAATGGAGCCCTTTTCAGAACCATCGGGCCATGGAGTGGGTGTCCGGGTCCCTAAATGGCAGCAGGCAGCCCCAAGTCCTGGCTTGTTGGAAAGGGAGATGGGGGTGCCCTCCCTGCAGAGGGCGCCCACATTCACATCTTGGTCTTTGGTCTCTTCCAGGGGGCCCAAGGCAAACCTGGGGCCACGGGCCAGGCTGGGCCTCCAGGACCTGTGGTGAGTGGTCATCCTTTGGGGGTGAGACCAAATGGGAGGGGGGCCTGATGGCCACAGGAGGCGCTCAGGCTGCCTTGGGATGTCTCTTCCTGCAGGGCCCCCCCGGACTGCCCGGGCTGAAGGGCGAGACCGGACCCAAAGGAGAGAAGGTAGGGGGTGAGGGAGCTGCGTTTCGCGCTCGCCCTGGGTGAGCAGCCTTTGGGGCAGGCGAAGGAGCCTCCCTCCGGCTGCTGACTGCCCCTCCGTCTCTCCGCAGGGACACCCGGGCCTCATCGGCTTGATTGGACCAGCGGGGGAGCAAGGGGAGAAGGGGGACCCGGGGGCCCCCAGGCCCCTCAGGCAGCGGGGGATCTAAAGGAGAACCCGTAAGTGCTGGGGGAGGGGGTGGCTAGGCGGGGCGCTGGGGGCGGGGACCAGCCTGGCCTTTTCCTGCCTTTCTCTCTCTCCCTGCAGGGAATCGCTGGACCAACTGGCCCTCTTGGCCCCACAGGGCCCCCTGGACTTCCTGTGAGTAGCACTTGACCCCCCCACCCGGCCTGTTACGCCCTCCTGGACCGGCACCCCAACTCCTCTCCTTCTTTTCCAGGGTCCACCCGGTCCCCAGGGCGCCAAAGGAGCCATGGTGAGTGCTTCAGCCCAGCCCCACATGTGGGGGGCAGCAGGGGGAAGAAAGGGAGGAAGATCTCTCCTTGAGGACTAACCTCTTGGCGCTTGATTCCAGGGTGAAGCGGGACCCAAAGGACAGCGGGGCGTCCCCGGCCCCCCCGGGAACCCGGTAAGACCCGAGTCTCCCTCCGCCCTGCCTCGGTTTCTCCTGTGGCAGAGGGGTTCCGGGAAAGAGTGGGCCTGGTGGGACGAGATTTGGAGACGTACTTCTTCACTTTCAGGCCCTTCCTCCCAATTTTACAAAAGCTGCCTTAAAAATTCAGTTTCCTAAAATGCACCAGGTTTGTAAAATATAAAAGCAGCGATAACCATGCCCGCCATTGGAAGACCTGAGCCTGTCTTACACCCCGGTAGCTCTTCAGAGGCTGAGAATTGATGGTGGCTAAAGATTTTGACTTGGTTCACCCCATATTCCCCACTGGGTTCAGGCAATATATTGAACTGGAGTCTAGCCGAATGTCTGGGTTTGCCCAACCTGCTTTGTGCCCCCAAATACTGTAGGGTTAACCCTAAGCAAGCTTTGCGTGTTGTGTGAATGGGAAAATTAACGTTATAAACTAGAACTTACAGTCCGGATTCCTAAACTCCTGACAGTATAATTCTTGCTGAAACACAGAACGGAGGTAGTCGTCCTTCCCTTTCTCTTCCGGCTAGTTGCCAAATCATTGGCATATAACAAAAAACAGCAGCCTTCAAAATAAATGTGATGTGTGAAATAACTTTTGTCATATTATGTGAGCCAAGGATGCATTTGGATTAGGTGAGCCGTTCTGTTTCTTCCTCAAAAGAGGCAGAGGGACCTCATAGATGCAAAATGAAACCCTTGTTAAATTAATTGCAGTTTCAGGTCTCTAGATCTGGGGCTTAACAGGTGCCCAAATGCTCTTCAATTGCCTTTTCTCTCCCGGGCACGCTGGTTTTTACTCCCTGACATTCTGACAACCAACAAGAACGACAGCAGCCTTTTATTTTGTGAAGACGGTGCTAAACCCTCCAAGAACAGAGGGGGCTCAGATGCCCACAGCAGAGGTCACAGAATCCCAGAACGATGCCCCAGCTGGGCCACTCTGGGACGTAGGGGCTTCAACTCCCAGAATTCCCCAGCCAATATGGCCACTGCTAAGAATTCTGGGAGTTGAAGTCCACGTGGTTGGGCGGATAGACCTTCCGGAGAGGCCGCTGTCTTTAAAGACTCCAGAGCCCGCAACTGCCACAGTCCACCGCTGTAACTGAGGGCGTTGCATTCTGCACTTTGGGGGATGTGGGACGGCCTCTCTTCCCAGAGCAAACCTTGTCCTATTTGATGAAAGTCAGGTGGTAGCACCCGGCCGACCTATCTGGGCTTGGAAGCTAGCCAGAGTTGGTCCTGGTTAGCCTTTGGATGGGAGACCACCGGGGAGCCCCAGGGATATAAGGCACATGGGGGTCTATGAAATTGCCCCAGAAGGAGACCGCCCGTCTTGCTGCCGGGGAACCTCAGGGCCACCGAGGGCCTCTTCCCCCTTTCCTGCTCTCCGGGCGCTGCCCAGGTCCCTCCCCACTTTCTGAGTTTAGGGCCCCCCAAACATTTCTTTCCCAGGGGTGTAAGGACCACGCCTGAGCTGGCGGCTGTGGCTGCAATGCAGGAGGAGGGAGAATCCCCCCCGTGCCGAGGGAGCGGGTCCCTTCTGCAGCTCAGATGCTGCGAAGACAGCCGGGCTCCTGCTGACTCTGCGGTTGTTTGGGGGTGCTAGAGAAGCGGTCGCTGCCTTCTGGGGGATTTTCACTTCCCAGTCCAGCCCCCCTGCCCTGGGATTTGCTGGTGGTCTCCCATCCCTGGAGTTACCAGCCCTGACCCGCCTGGCTTCTGAATGTGCATTCTAGAGCTCTGGGGAGGAGGATGGGGGTGACGCGGTTCACCACCAGCCACTGCTGAGTTTGATTGGCAGCTGCCCTTCAAGGATTCAGGGGGATGTTTCTCCACCTAGAGACCCCCTTTCTGAACTAAAGTAAAAAGGAGATTTGGGGGCCTGACCTTCGGGCCTTCTGTCTGCAAATCGGGTGTTTCAGGGCCCCTTTCTTGGGGGACGTTCCTGGCTGTAGCAGAGTGGCATGGTGGGGGCTGTGGCTCCCTCCAGAGCCCGGCCCCCCTTCCTCGACTGCCGGCCTTCCGCTCCTGAGGCCTGCGCTCTCCCGCTCTTGGCCAGGGTCCCCCAGGCGAAGCGATCCAGCCGCTGCCCATCCAGCATCCCAGGAAGAGCAGGCGCTCGGTGGATGGCAGCCAGCTGGTGCCGGAGGAGGAGATGGCAGCGGACGCGGCAGGGCAGCCAGCTGCCCAACGCATCGAGGAGATCTACGGCTCCCTCGACTCTCTCCGCCAGGAAATCGAGGGCATGCGGAAGCCACTGGGCACCGCCGAGAGCCCCGCCCGCACCTGCCAGGACCTCCAGCTGGGCCAGCCCGGACTGCCGGACGGTGGGTGAAGCCGGGGCCCCCTGCACTGACTTTTTTGTTTTTTGGGGGGGGTGAGTGTGCCAGTGGGCCTTTTGTGCCATTTGAGTTGGGGGGCCCTGATTGGGAGGCTAGGCGGGGAATCACCCCTTTGGCCGTCTCTTTTCCCCAGGTGAATACTGG